TATTGGGAATATGTCCCAATGATGACATCATCATTTTTAGGATTATCATCAGGAGATGTTCCCAATACATTGCGGGAATGTGCTGTGGGACGTTGTGGGGGGGCTGATTTGCTCTCTAAGTATTTATATGCATTTGGGAAACAAACCCAAATAAGCATTTTTTAAGCAAATTAGGCCATTTTGAATAAGCTCAAAATTTTAGCTTTTTTTTTAAGTGATGTTTGAAATTGCACTTATTGCATTTCTGGCCCATCTTGACCCGCCACATAATTTTCAAAATGCCTATACTACAGTTTTTGAAAGCACTTTTTTGACCAAACACAAATAAGCGCTTATTAGGTAAGAACTTATTAATATATAATCACATATTTATCCATTAACCTATCTCGAATGACCACAAAGTCAAATCTAAAGCAAAAGCAAATCAATATTTACACTCAGGTGGAATTCAACAAAGTCTGATGTTTAAATGCCAAAAAGCTATTGTTCAGTTCTAAAATCTGAGAAAAGTAGAAATGATTTGTTGCTTTTTAAAAGCTCTAAAAAAATAAGATCACTTGAGTTGGAACAATTCTCTAACATTTAAAACTATGAAGTTTGCGATTTTACCCATAGAAATAGATGGCTTTATAATATCATACATAAAAAAGAATATTAAATAAAAATATTATTATATTAATAAAAGTATTATGATTTGTTGAAATAAATAATTATTTATTATTAACTAATAATATATAAAAATATTTTAGTTTTTATTATTAAATATTCTTATTACTAAATCAATATTATTATTTATTCAAATAAATATATTATTATTTATCATTTAATTAATAATAAATATTACATATTATTTACTATTATCAAATGATATTTTTAATATTATAAAATAATATTTAATAACACTATTATTATTATTATTATTATTATTAAACATAAAATAACTTTGATACCATCTCAACCAACATAAAATAGAATAACAACATAAGGAGGAAACAATAAGAATAAATAAAGAAATACCAATGTTTAACATGGTTCGGCTTGGTAGCATACGTGAGGAGAGGAAGCATATCCACTATGAGAATAAAAGATACAACTTTCTCTCTCTCTCTTACTCACTTTGCTTAAGTAAGCAAAAGACTAAAATACATCAGAATTACACATAAGTCCATTTTTCTAACATAAATACATATAGGTCCCCATAACTTATCACTGTTAGAAATATAACGAAATACAATATATCTAACAACAACAACAACTATTATTATTATTATTATTATTATCAAATGTAAAATGTGTCTAATTATAAAAAAACATGAGATCATGTCTTATCATTTCAAACGTCTTTTCCCTTTTTTTATGTTAGAAATAGATGTAATCTCAAATGCCTCTTATCTCTCTCAAAAGCAAGTTTTTCAGACTTTGGATGTATGAAAAGTGTTATTAAACGCATGAATCTATTTGCACTCCCATGCATTTTTACTAATGCAAATGAAAATCGAACTGCAAACAATAGAGCGTTACTTTTGCCCAGGTCTGATCTGGTGTTGAAAGGATCAAGATGCATGGCTGAATGGGTCCAACCTAAGAGCTTGCATACACCAAAAATCTACATTGAAGACATGGTTACAACCTATTGTGAGGTTTTAGGTTTTGCTATTCCCATGGCTACAATGTCTAAAATGTGTTGAAATTCTTTTCAGACATACTTGAACCAGTCGAATTAAGATCTTCTGTCAATAAAACACGTTCCAACCCTCTATCGATATGATCTAACACCGCACATTTTACTATAAAACTAGAGTGTTGGGATGTGTTTTGTTGGCAAGTGATCCGTATTCGAATCAGTCATGCTTTTCTGCCTTACTCATGAATTAGCTTTAGCTCTAGCTGAATTTTGTTGAATTCATGAAGCAAAGAGAGTTGGAGGTTTGGAACTTGGAAGAATGACAGATGCATAGATACTGCCAGGTGATGGATTATTGGATTTCCAGCAAAGGATTTGTGAAAATTTGAAAGAAGGGTGACAAATGAAAACAATTATGTTGCTGACTGTGACCTCATTTACTACCTTAAATAAAATTTTGTCTACTACTAGATCCCGGATTTTAACTTGTCACAACAGTGTAATTAAACTTTGTTTGTTTGTCAAAAGCATCACTTCTTCAGTTCCCACCTTAAAATGTTATATTCTCAATTTCTCACTCAAGCTTCTTCACTTCCAACTATTAAATATTATATATATAGAGAGAGAGAGGATTTCATTTCCTATTGCTACTGTCACCTCAAATTTACTCACTCCCTTTAGAAAGAAAGTAAATACATGAATACAAAGTATAAATCAATAAAGCAACAAGTACTAAACATGTGATTTAACCAATATCTTGGTTCCAACTATGACAATTAGTGTGGTTGATTACTGGGTAGGCAAACACCCCCCAAATACCGGTGAGCCTTTGAGTCTTTGACCTGAACTCAAACCCGTAAAGGTTAATAGGAATAAGGAAGATAGAGTTTAGTCATTTTGGTTAGATTTTACATTGAAATCTTTTCTTGAACTCCCCCCTAAAAATAATGAAATCCTTTAGAAAATTTTGGGATTTTTGGTTACCTTTTTTGCCTTAATTTATGAAATTTCAGGAAAATTTTATTAATGATCCAGAGTCCCAATTGGCCAAAATTTCAGAAATTTAAAACCATGGTTATCAGTGGCAAATCACTGAAAATACATTCTATTGAATGTATGGTGCTTACCAAACAGAAACTATCAGAACAGGATCCCCATCCCAAATTGTACAACCATGATGATTGATCTGAATATCTATCCTTATCCCTTATCTCTTTGTGTAGATGTTAATACATCCCCCATATTGAACCAGGAAAAATAGAACCAGAATCTTTTTTCCCTTCCTTCTCAGCCAATTTTGGAGGGTTAAAATGGATCAATTTTGTATTAAAAATAATGTATTTTTGGCGTAAAGTTGGTTAACATGGTTGGACCCTAATTTAATCGGATGTTTTTGGTCCTTTTTTTTTTTCGATTCTCCATGAACTATACAACTGGGGTAGCCCATATCCAAATATCCCTCAACCCTGGTGCAGGCGGGATATGATATTTCGATCCCAAATCTTCGCTACAACCAGTCAAAGACCTTACCAACTAACTAGCTGGGACCTTACATATTTTAGATCCCGATTAAACGATTATTTTTATAAATTGAAGGGACAAACCATCAAATTAACTGATAAAACCATGACCCCATTGAGCATTCCAGTTTTTAGTCGGGTCCGAGTGTCACAACATTGATTCTAACTAAACAACCAACCAAAGTACTTTTGTATCCCCCTTGTGTTGAACTTACACAGTTGCTTGTACAACAATTAGTAAGGGAAATTTAAAACGGAAAGGCATTGATTGGGTTGGCTATCAAAAAAGAGATGAATTCTTTTACTCATTAATGTGGTGCAGTTCCATTAACATTAGTTGAATAGTTACATCAAGGCTAATATCAACAGCGATTCTTGAATCCGAAAGTGGTAACTCTTGACCTGACCCATCAACTCTCCCGGATCTGTCCACTTGCCTCAACCCAAATATCCAAACCCACCCAGAATTTTACCCAAGAAACAGAAAAAGCAGACAGACAGCTGAGTCATTTAATCCAAGGGGTGGTTCATGACTACAAGATGCCGAGATGGGCTTCTGGCTTCTGTGTTTGTTGGGGTAGATTTGCAGCCCACGAGTGAACAACTTTTTATAAAATGGTGTCCTTGTGCATCGTTTCCCTTTTTACTTTAATTATGGGCTACGGTTGCCGTGTCCGACTCGATTTTAATCATTGATACCTTGATGAGATCTGTAGACCGTAGTTTGCTCCAAGCATGTCATATTATGACATGATGATAGTTGTAGGTAAGAAACACTGGATCATTTCTTTTTTATTTAAAGGAAAAATATGTGAAATATAAGTCGTTGAAGAGGGAGGGAGTGGGGTTATTGTTAAAAAGAGAGGTATTAAATTCGGACAAAATCCTAACCCTATCTTACAAAAGGTGCATCCCAAAATCTGTGAGTTAAGTTCATGGAATATTCCTTTAACAAATTATATTTACGTTGTTTTATAAAAACATATTGTCATTTTAACTTGGTTTTTTAAAATAATAAACTTATAATGCCAGAAAATTATAATATCGGAAGAGCTTTGACCAATCAATCGTCATAGGGCGACTCCATAAATTTTAATATTTATCATTTTTATGATATTGATTGATGGGTTAGAAGTTTTTATTGAATCATGGTTGAATATATAATTTTTTAATTTTTAAATCCTAAATTTCACATGTTTCTCTTAATTTTCTTTCAAAAAAGTTTATGTCAAAGGTTGATCAATTCATCGCACAATATTTGTGCTTTAAAATTATTATTTTCATCATCTTAATATTTATTACTGGCAGACTATAGAATGTTAAATGGACAATTTAGTAAATTTACTTTCACTGTCAAGTGTCAACCCGCTAGCAAGTCAGGGGGAAAACTGAAGTTTGGGGGGACTAAGTGTTATCACCTCTTACTGAGAAAAATGAAAAGGAGTGTGGACGTTTTGTTTTCTTGGTGGACTTTGCCGCATTCGGGAAAAGAAGTTAAGAAGTTTATCCAATTGGGCAAAATTAGAAACCCGCCCATAAGCCAGTAAGTAAAGTATCCATCCATATGGCTCCTTAGAATAAAAAGTTTTTTAAATAAATAATAATTACGGTAACTTATAATAAAAAAAAAAAAAATACATTCAAAAGAAAGAAAGAAAGGGAGGGAACTCGGTTCTGTGGTTTGGAGCCGTCACCATTCACCAGTTTTGACCCAATCGAACAGGGCACACAAGCTAATGGGGCCCACAACGTGTCCTTTATCTTTTGGGGGAGGGGGTCCATATCTTGAGTAAGATGCACTGGGGACCGTAGATTTTGTTTATTCGTGGGCTATATAAATAAGTATTTATATATAAGCAAGTCTAAAGAGTATTGGCGATGCAGAAAGAGGAGGGAGGGTGGTCTGGTCTCTCTTCCAAATCCAAAGTTTCGTTTGGAGTGGAAAAGGATAAAGAGGAAGGAGGGTCTAGGGTTTGTTCTTCTGTTTTATTTATCTTTGTTCATCCCAATTTTTATATATAAATTCGATCATTCTATTCTTTCCCTCCCCATTTATCTTTGATGGTGGGGAGGAGAACAAGAGAAAAACTTTTTCCGTAGTCATGGCTGTAGCTGAAGCACGTAAACAGCAAAGATATCATCCTTTCTTTCTTCGCTCTTTTCGTCCTCTGGAAAGTGTGTTTGTTTGTTGAACTTTTTTGTCTTGGTCTTTCGTGAAATCTCTGAAACTTGTCTTTCTTTGTCTTCGATTTTTGGGGCTTTTATCTTGTATCGTCGAGGATTGGATTCGTTGTTGGGATGGCGTCGGTTCAGAAACAAGAGATTGAAGAAGACGACGAAAGAAGGACGACTGCTGATCCCACAACAAACGATGGAGGTGGCGAAAGCGAACCCGCTCCTGCTCATGACGGAGACAACGTGCAGAATAGGGTGGAATCTTCTAATCCCACGGAGGCCGAACAACCGTCGCCTGCGACTGTTTCCGTTAGCTCGCAGCCTTCAGCACCGGTACCGATAATGTCCTTGAAAGAAGAACCCACGGAAACGGAGCAGGACATGGAGGAGCGGCCACAGCCCATTGGGGTTGTCCCGGTGGCTATGCAGATGCAGGTGCCCGTGCCTATGCCTATGTCCATGCCTTTGCAGATAAGAAAAACGGCGGTTCCAGGAAGAAGGGCCTCCACGAAAGACCGTCATACGAAGGTTGAAGGTCGAGGACGGAGGATCCGGATGCCGGCAGCTTGCGCGGCCAGGATTTTTCAGCTAACCAGGGAACTGGGTCACAAGTCCGACGGAGAGACGATTCGATGGCTCCTCGAACATGCTGAACCCGCCATCATCGCCGCTACGGGGACCGGCACTATACCTGCTATCGCCATGTCCGTCGGTGGCACACTTAAGATCCCAACTACGTCTTCGGCTTCCGACGGAGACACCACGAAGAAGAAGAGGAAGCGGTCTGCAACGAGTGAATATTACGACGTTAGCGGTGGAGTCTCTATTTCTTCGGGTCTCGCTCCTATAGGAGCCACTGCAGTTGCTGCGGGACCCCAAGGGTTTGTCCCCATGTGGGCTGTGAGTAGTGGCGGAAGGGTGACACCATCCAACGCCGTGGCAGCCGGAACTTTTTGGATGATCCCTCCTACTACTGCCATTGCCGGACCTTCGAACCAACCTCAAATATGGACGTTTCCAGCAGGCGCGACGCCGCTCATCAACATCTCCGCGAGACCCATTTCGTCGTTTATCTCAGCGATGCAGCCTGGAATTAATATAGCTACTCCTATTGAAGTTCAGACTCCGTCCGTTTCCAATAACGCAACAGCATCTTCTGTGTTATCCACGGGAGCAAAAGCAGCCAAAACTTCCACGATGGCTCCGAGCACAAGTTCTACCACCACCGCTGCTACTACTACTACTACTACTACCACCACCCAGATGCTGAGAGACTTCTCTTTGGAAATCTACGACAAACAGGAGCTTCAGCTAATGGGTCGTTCGGCAAATAATCGGCAACATGATCATACACCATCTTCTTCCAAGTAACGAGTGCAGGGAAGATCGTATCAGAACTTTCAACCCTGCAAAGCAGAGGTTTTTTTTTTTTTTTTTTGTTATATGGGTTCGGTGCTTCGAAGGGCTTTGTCCATTTTTTATCAGATATCCCAATCTTCGGTGATTCCGCCATTAACGACCTTCGTTCTTTGTCCCCTCCCTCCCTTCTTTTTTCCAGTTTTTTTGTTTTGTTCTCCTTTCATTTTTTTTTTCCCTCTCCCTCCCCCCTTCCTCCGCAGTCCGCAGTCCGCAGCGCAGTCCACAAAGATGGAGAGGGTACGGTCGGGTCTGCACGTGCGCACGTGTGTATTTATCCGTATACGTGTAGAGATCGGATCGGGTTAGGCGGAGGAGTCTGTTGAGGTAGGGACTAGGGAGGGTGGTGGGTCAACAAGTGATGTTAGGGGTGCTCCGTGGACTGTGTCGAATTGGTTTCACGTGGGCCACCACCTGTCCATCATGTGATGGCCGGCGCGGGCCCCAAGAGGAACTTGTGGGGTCCAACAGCTTCTCTCCTCTCTCGAGGCGGCCGCGTGGTGGTCCCCGCTCGCTTTTTGGTGTGTTTCTTTTGGGTGGTTCGATCGAGATGAGAAGAAAGTTTTTAGACTGGCTCTGCCGACACGCGTATGGTGCTTAGCTGTTAACGTGGGGACCATTCCATCTTCAATCTGACACGTGGACCCGAGGCCCTTGCGGAGAGAATATCCGTTATTGCGTCCTTACAACGGGATGATGGTGCATCAGATACGGTGGATCCGTCCAGTTATTTTCTTTATCAGAGCATGGAACACTGCATCTATGTGTAATCGTAGCATATTAGTTTTTCTTCATTTTTCTCCGCTAACCAAATTCCAAAAATAAATATAGATAGGTTTTCTTTTTTTTTTTTGGTTTAACGCTTGTCAAATTTTAATTATCACCCTACTTGTTCTGGCCCGTGCACTTGATTTGAGAAGTTTTGGGGCACAATTTCAATTTCAACTTATCGTGGTCGTGGCGATTGATCTTTCAACTGATGCCCCAACCAACCATCGTGGTGGGTCCCAAGGTTTACCACCAACCGGTCCCGTCCATGATGGGCCACCTCATGGGATGGACCATACATACAAAAAGAAAAGCTGAAAAAGAACGTTATCTCAGTCGGATCCACGGGATGGACGATCCCAAGCGTGCAATTAGTATCCTTAATCTGGATGTGGCCCGCTGATTTGACCTAACCTTTTCGGTATATTTTGCTCATCCATGATGTGGGTCCATCAGTCCGACGGACGGATTGCATTGATGGCGCCCACCCGCTCTATTCTCTTTCAGCAAGGACTAAGCCCGAGGACAGCTGCTGGAAAAAAAAATGTTAAGCTACGCTTCCGGACTACCGACTGCGATACGGCATAAAATCGCTAAAATCCGCCCTCCGGTAATCGGATCAAACGGCCGGTGTTGTCTCTAAAAAACAGAATGTAACAGAATCCCCAGGATTAACTGACTGTTGATGACGACGGACGAAGGTTCCGTGGGATGGATATTCTATATTTCTGACTGCTAAGAGATGCCACATATCTCTAACCATACAGGAATGCCTTTTTTTTTGGGGGGGGGGATGAGCGGTAAGGGCAAAGGAGTGAAGGTAGGGAAGCGTGGGTGGTGGGATGTTTCAAGCCAATGTCCACTTTTCGTGGAATGTGGGCCCTACCAGGGTTTCGACAGTCTGGATCAATGGGCTTCGGTGGGCCACAGTTGCGCTGCCTGGTGTGGTTGTGTGTTAATTGTTATGTGAATGCGATATAATAGTCCGAGTCTAGTCAGACTGGGCCGCATGAAAATTTTGTTACGCTAAGTCTCCCACTTTATAGCCGTTAATTTATTGAGCCAATGTGAATATATGAATAGAAGAGAAGAGAGGGGGGGGGGATTCAGGATTCTTATCACAAGATAACGTGGGGGAGAGGGGAGAGGTGGTGGAGCCCACCGGCCACAACCCGATACCACCGCCACCACCAGCATCAGTACCAACCCCATCTAAATAGGTGGGGTCCTCCTCCGGGGTGGAGGACCATTAAACATCACACAAAAAATTGTCGGGCGGATGAGTTGATCTACACCGTGCAATCAATGATGTTCCCTGTGGACCATTGCTTCTACTTTAGGAGAGGAAATGGAATTGATTGGCTGGTCAAGTCTCATCTTTTAGCCATGGTCCCACTAACAGAGACGTGAACCTATTAACCCCCAACCACGTGGGTCCATCGTCTTAGGCGGCCTAAATTATGTGGCGGGTCCACACGCTAATTGGAGGGCAACAGGCTTACCATTTTCAAATTTGAAAGCTACATTTTCACCTTTTTATTACCTCTCTCTCTGTTCAATGCCTTCGCGCTTATTATATTTTGGTGAAATGAAATGCAGTGTATCTGCCGTTGATTGGCGTTCTACAACACCAATGCTTTTTTTTTTTCATTTGCTTTGGGAATCGCCACATTAAAAGAAAATGTCCTTTAACTCTATTTTTTATTTTCAAAGGCAAAAGTAAGTTGATTTTATTTCAGAAAACCAACAAAATATTGTGATGGTTCGCCATCTGACTATTCCTAGCTGAAAAGCGATTCAAACTCCAATTTGGCCGTGAGCTGGATTGGTCTGTAAAACAGTGAATTAGAGAATTCGGGGTAATTAACCCGGCAAGGTCGTTTCGATACTTAAGTCAGTACTTATGCTGTGAATACGAGCTAATTATTTAAGAGCTTGATTGCTAGTGAGTAAAATAATCACGCGTACCTTTGCCTTGTGGTTTCATGTCTTTATATACTAGAGTAGTCGAGGGCCTTTCAAAAGAGCTTTGGGATCTCTGGGCTGTGGAGATAAGGTTTGTTCCATTTTTGAAGGAGAGTAATATGTTGATAAAGTTTATCGTTTACCTTCGATTCAGGCGGAGACGGGACGGGTTCTCATCGTGATCTCGGGAAATTCGGGATCTATTGGCTCATTGTGATATTAGGAAATTCGAGATCTGTTGGGGAGGCCTTTGGAGTCAGTTATGTAGCGTTTTGGCTCATTAGCTTTGAGCTGGAACTTCGTTTCTTTAGTCCCGAACTGGATTGGGTGTCGAGGTGCCTCTACACCGAGGTGGGTTTTGGGCCGAGGTGGCTAAATACCTGAGCTCTGAATGTTGCGAACTGAGTTCGCTTGGCTGAATTATCACCCCTCGATCAGATCGCGCCCACGTGTCTCCTTCTTGCTAGGTCGTACCAAATCACCCTTCATCATATTGATTTTAAAACAAAAACAATTTTTTATTAGTATGGAAATTATGTAATTTATGGATTATGGTGTTAAATAATTAGATGAAGTTTGAAAAACATGTTTTCTGTTTTATTTTTGAAAACAAAAAACACATATAACCAATAACATGGTACTTGTGTTTTTATTTTAAAAAACAATTTGTTTTCAAACGAAACCGTTTTAAAACCAGCAACAAGAAAAACAATTCACGTTGTAGAACACCTCCTTAATCGTATCCTTTAACCATAACCGTTACTTCTTATTTGGGATTTTAAGAAATGGTCCCATTGAATTTAATCTACTATTAGTACTTAGTAGACTAGTAGATGTTGATGGGGGAGGGCTACTCCAATTGTGTTGCTTGTTCAGAATCGGAATGTTCTATTTTTATAATCTGTTTGATTCAGATAGGAATGAGAATGGGAATTGGAATCAATATGAATGAAATTTCATTCTCAAGGGAGGGGCAGGGAATGACCATTCCCTCAAATGGGGGAATGGAATTCTAGCAGGAATGGGAATGAGATTCCAATTCCCCCCAAACAAACAATTGGAATCTGAACAGCCCATTGCGATTCCAATTCTAGTTCCAGATCCCTATTCCTGCAAACCAAACGGGGCCTTATTCTTTTTTTTTGGGTCTTTTTTTGAAAAAGATTGTTTTTTTTTTTGTTGAATTATAAAGATATGCCTCTAAACTTTCATTTGTGACAAAACCTCCTTGAACTTCAACTTTGTGACAAATACCCCTTTCGTTAGAGTTGTCAGTTAACTTTGGAAAAATTTTCATTCAGATGTTTAAAATTTTTTAATCTTTAAACTACCCCTTTCTTATTTGAATGATTTGCGATTCGATTAGTTTTCTAAATATATTTCAATATTCAAATGAATGGTAGAGGTTTCTTTTTGATAGATATAGATTTATGGTTTCACTTGGTTTTTCTTCATTTATGGAGAAAGTATTGGATGATTTTTATATTTTAAGATGAAGAGAGACATTCATGTCCATGAAATGAATCAAGAATATATAAAAAAAAAGTGGGTATTTTGATAATTTAACACATTCTGTAATTTTACGTAACGGTGAGGAATATTTGTCGCAAAGTGGGAAGTTCAGGGGTTTCTGTAATTTACTACAATGCTCATCCAACGCAATGTTGGGCCTGGTCCAAAAACTTATGGATTTTCCTATACACAAGTCTTGAGAAACCAAAAAAAAAAAAATCCCGATCCTTGTGTTTAGGGCATGTTTGGTTATGAGCTTTAAACATAGAAAACCTCATAAAGGCATTCTCAATATTTCTTCTATATTGTCAAGGTAAAACCAAATGGAGGATATTAGAACTTTCTCGTAATACTTTTAAAAAGCGCTTCAATAACCTCACATTTTCTCTAATATTTACATATTATGGTCCAATAGTATATCCAATTTTGGCATTAGGCATATAAATAAGTGAAAGGTATTTGTTTCAAGCACTTATTCCTCTGTATTTTCAATTGGATCGTCTCATTAAATCTGTGAATTGAGGAAAGCCTGCTTTTTATATAATTTGTTTTCATTTTTCACTAAGGGTATGTTTGGTTTAAAGGAAAAAGTAGGGAAAGAAAGGAAAAGATAGGGAAATCAAACACTTATTCCTTGTATAGGTTTTCCTACTTTTCCCTTCCTTTCCCTACCTTTTCCTTCAAACCAAACATAGCTTAAAGTAATACACGGGTTTGAATTTTATTTTTAGATTGCATGAATAATAAACAGACATTAATTTATGTGTAGCCCTTTATCTTGCGTTGTGTGTTTGAAAAAAAATGGTGTAACAAACACCAATTTTTTAAAAGTAACCCATTTTTAGGAAAAACTTGGTGTTAATGTGTTATCATGGGACGGACATGATTCTGGGCCCATTTTCATGTTTTATAGGTGTTGTATTATAATATTTATTTAAAACATAAAAAATAACATAGTATATCATTATATACATATATATATATATATTTATTTATTTATTTAAGAATATGTACTGGCTGGGCCTAAAATTTGTGGGCCTGATGCGGGCCATGGCCATGCTAAAAATGATAATTTCTATGAAAAACACAGCACTAAGAAATAACTTGTGGTTTTATCGACAAAAAAAAGAAAAAGATGCAACTTGTGGAAAATTCCTTAAAGGGCTACAATAGCAAGGGCCAAAGACAAGCGAATTAAAAAGTGGCCCGGCAGATATGCCCAGAGAAGAGGATACCTTTTTGACCTAGGACCTGAATATGCTTAAGTAGCACGCCCACGGCCCACCACCTTGCGGCTTTTATTGTCTCATGTCTCATCTTACACCATTTTCTAATGGCCAATGCCTTACAAATGTTTTGAGAAAATTACAGGACTCGTATTGGGTTGGGCTTCATGTATCAAACTCATGGGTCTCACAGTCACTGAAATGGGACTTTCAAGCCATGTGCAACTAAATATTCCAATTTGGCCCCACCCCATTTAATGATGCAGGATTCAACGATGCACCTCTTGCATAAATTTCCAAATTCAGTTGTGGGCCTATGGCCCAATTCGTCCAATTTGTGGTCTCTGACTTCCTATGTGCGTTCTATTCATATTGTGTAGGTTTCATACATACAGTGGCTGTACCTTACTCTTGCCTATGGTGCCACTGGATTTTTTTTTTTTTTTTGATGTTTTGATTGGTTAGATGGTCTGAAGACTCTGAACATACATTACAAACCCAGCATGGCTTAGTTATGTTCATTTGTTGTTGGGTCTGTCAAAGGCATCCTGATCTCAAGCCCCCCAAAATAAGAAGTCTGGATGAAAAACTAAAGTTCATTTTGCCCAATTGTTGTTGAAGGTGGGAAAAATTGAATTGTGTAACTTAGGGTTTAATTTTTGCCTGGTTAGCTATTAATCAACCTGAAAAGATCAGGTTGTGTTAGAGTTAGAATTGGAAAAGAAGAAAACTTAATTCAACATTGGATTGGATTAGGGTTTTCGCCTCAATCCATTCCATTGATTCCACTCAATCCAAACCTGATATGTATGCATGTATGTATATATGCCTTAAGAACTTCAAGTTTAAGGGCAAAGATATTTTGTGTAACATTATTGCTCCAAAGGCACCATAGTTTTGTGATTGTATACAAGGATTAAAATATGAATACGATATGCACCGTATTATGTGTATTATATTTATATCAGTGACTATAGAAACACATAGATATATTAAAAATTTGGAAATAATGCCTAGATGTATCATGCCTTTATAATAATAAAAAAAAATACCGGCTATATTGATACACATCAATACCAGGTCAATATTGATATTTTAGTCCTTTTAATCCTTGATTGTATATATACTGATGCTGAAGTTAATCAACTCCAATTGACAAATCCAAGTATAAGATGTTAGAACTTTTTTATTTCCAACAAAATGAAGTAAAGAAATTTGGCCCAAACAAAACCTAAACCCAAGCCCAAACCAACTGAATGGCATTGAGTGGGAGGTTGGGTTAGGGGTTGTACAACTCCACTTGGGCTAGGGTTCACTTTAACTCAACTTGACCCGGGCAGATTTGCACCCCTACTTCTATTAACAATCAGGTAGACTGACGCTACTTGGTCCATCTAGCATCCTCCACTTCAAAATGGACAAAGGAGAAACAAACAAATGGATTTTTTTTTCCATCTCATATAAATTCTCAGGCTGATACTTGCCACATGGAAATGCATGCATCACAGCCGATACCTCAACTCTGAAAGACTATAAGCACAGATATATACCCAAAGATAGCGTTCTCATTGAATGTCCACTCTGAGTAGGAGGTAGCATATGCACAACCCAGTTATTTCTCCAGTACTCGTCGTGCATTCCAGATGCTTGGTCGTCAATCTTGTACTGCAGATGCAGTACATATTATGTACTCTCTAGATCTCCCACCAAACGATACCATTTCCTGGACCCACTCTCTGTATTTTATTTCAGCAAACACTTTGTTGATCCCGCAAGGTATTCTTAAGAGCCTAGGTGGACATACTTGGTCTCAAAGCACACCAAGCTGAGACGAGTTTCAATTGTCTTCTTAAGTAACTTGGAAGCATTTTAATTAATCAACATCCAACGTCAAATGGGAAATGGGAAATGAGATCTTTTTTTTATTATTTTTTTTTGGGTTTCTAATTAATTGCACTATTTATACATGCATTGCGATATAGTTCCTTCATTCCATGCAACTCCCATCCATCGATTCTCTGCTAATAGTTGTTTGTTCTAGTTTGATCAGTTTTTGTTTCAGCCAAGAACAAATGAGTACTGTTACACTTGCACCTTCTGCTTTTGCAACTCTTTTTCTTCTCTTCACTGTGATTCCTTTGTCAACTACTGCTGTGCTTGATGCCTACTATTACGATCAGAGATGCCCACAAGCAGATAAAATCATCTTAGAGACTGTTCGCAACGCATCGATGCATGACCCAAAAGTCCCAGCTCGCATTCTCAGGATGTTCTTCCATGACTGTTTCGTTAGAGTATTCACCTTCACAACGAATTGAATATTGTTTTTTGCTTTCACTTCCTATTATGGGTTTGCGATACAATGGTTTCTGGGTTATTTGCTTCTGTTGCAGGGATGTGATGCGTCGGTTTTGCTGGACTCAACTCCGGGCAACAAGGCAGAGAAAGACGGTCCACCCAACATCTCACTTCGATCTTTCTATGTGATCGACGATGCTAAAGCTAAGCTCGAACCGGCATGTCCACAGACTGTGTCTTGCGCTGATATAATCGCAATTGCCGCAAGAGATGTAGTAGTTCTGGTAATGTTTTAATGTAGAAGCTCAAGAGTCAAGACTGGTATTTTCGTTTTCTTACTGCCTCATCTCTCTGTTTTGTTAATTTCTCTCAGACTGGAGGTCCTTACTGGAATGTACTCAAAGGAAGAAAAGATGGAAGGGTGTCGAAGGCCGCAGAGACTACTAACTTACCTGCTCCATCCTTGAATGTAACACAGCTCATTCGGAGTTTTGCAAAGAGGGGATTAGGAACTAAAGATTTGGTGGCTCTATCAGGTGGTCACACCTTGGGATTTTCTCATTGTTCTTCGTTTGAGGCTCGGCTTCGAAACTTCAGTTCCACGAATGATGTCGACCCAAGCTTGAACGATGTGTTGGCAGAAAATCTGAGAAAGAAATGTCTGAAACCCAACAGAGATGCCAATGCAGGAGAGTTCTTGGACTCCACTTCATCGATATTCGATAATGATTATTTCATACAACTTGTGGCAGGAATGGGTGTGTTTGAATCGGATCAGTCCTTGTTTAGCGATTACAGAACAAGGTGGATTGTGGAGTCATTCGCGAGAGATGAAGGTCTCTTCTTCAGAGAGTTTACAACTTCAATGTTGAAACTCGGAAATGTAGGGGCGCTTGAAGATGGAGAAGTAAGATTGAACTGTCGAGTTCCCAATTGAGAGAGAGATAGATAGATAGATAGAGAGAGAGAGAGATGCATAAATAAAGATTTTTTTCCTTAGAACTTAGAAGGTTGTGGAAATAAGATCAGTTTGGAAAATTCTGTTTCATCAGTGACATCTCTATACTTAAAAATATTTATTCATGGGATGCACGGATGAAACGTGCTGTGAGGTCAGTGTGAGGCGCATTTTGTGAGGAGCAGATCCCATCTCCCTTGGGACTTTGCTTCAATTCAAAAGCACCATATGAGCGTTAGGGTTTCTGATGTCTCTTATTACATATTACATTCGATGGTTGGGTTCAAGACCAACCTAGGTCCAGTCTTTATGATCTGGATTTTGGGCCTTTTTTATGTATCGGATATTGGGCCTACCTCAATGAAGGTCATAGCTCAGATGGGCTTGGTTTGGTCTGGGCAGGGAAGTTGGTGAGATTTGAAAACCTTCTTCTACCTTTAATTTGGGCTTTATAGTCTAATTTAAAAATTAAAAAAAAAGGAAAATGTACACAATTACACAATTCCTTTACATAGATAATTTATATAATTAGAAAAAGATACAAGTAGATGAAACGAGGTCCAATGGTCACAAACCATACGCAGCAAAAGATAAGACTTGTGACAGTTATGTCCCAAATGAGATGAGATGGACAAACAAGTAACCCATTTTGAGTATTAATGGTATGTGTACCTGTCTTCCTTGGGCAACCGCCTATACTTGAGATTACAGAGACTGTCCAATGGCTAAGACATGGCAGCTTTAACTTCTCTACCCATTCTTAGCTTGCTTGGAGGTTTTCTCCTGAATTGTCATTGCCAGGAAAAGAACGTATGCTGGTATGAAGAAATGAAAAGGATCTTTTTGTTGTCCAAGTGTTCAAAATACATTTTTTGGTATTCTAATGCTGCTAGGTGTTCTATACTAGACATAGATAGTGAGATTAGTGACAGGGTGAACATGGGGTTCACTAGCACAATGCAGAGAACCTGCTTACCTTTAGGCAATGTTTGGTTTGAAAGAAAAGGTACGGAAAGGTGGGGAAACCTATACAAGTTTTGTAAAGGTTTCCCCACCTTTCCCTTCCATTCCCTACTTTTTCCTTCAAACCAAACATACCCTTAGGGTTTGAACTTGTGTCTCCACTTTAAGAGGGATCCCATACGACCTACTGTCAACCAGGAGTGAATTGGTATCCTCTTTCCGAGGGATGCTGACCCCATACAGTTTGGCTAAGGTTTGGATGATGATGATGGGTTGTTCCCTGTGACTAACTCCACCTTGGATATCAGATCATTCATGGCTTAATTCAGGCTTCAACTTCTAATGTCCAAAACACAATACAAGGCTAAATGGATTAACGAGTCATTACTTTCAAGCCGGATCAAAACATTTTTTTCTTTCTTTTCAAGCAAGTGCTTGTGTTATTCCCACCCCACCAACCTGTTGATATATTAGTCTGAGACAAGTCAAAGCTTTAAGTGGTTGCAAATTCAGCTTAAGCATGCCCTGGACCATGCAATTCCAGCTTGGACCATTGCATTGTTGGTGCCACACTCCCTAAAATTAAGTTTTTCATGGAGTTGGATTAGATGTTGAAAACCTTGGAGGAAACACAAATATCCTTCCAAGTTCTTCCATGCATCTATTGATCTAACATCAAAGATCTGACATACAACACTTCTATCTATCTATCTATCTATCTATCTATCTATCTATCTATCTATCTATATATACCACTTGCACATCTTGTCATCTGCTATTAGTCATCCAAATGTGAGTGACACAGAGAACCTTTCCAACAATCCCACTTCCAAATTTATTAGAAATTGCATCTATATAAAAATCCTACTTATCACTTGATTTCAGACAATTATAGCTGTGACCAATGGCTCTCATAAAAAGATATAATTAACTGGATGATCTCAATCATTCTATCAGCATAAGAAAATTAGTTGAACTATTTATCTATGGCCAGCCCACCTACTGCACAGTCGATGTGATCCATATAATTAAGCAAATGCTAAGTGTCACAATTCTTGAAACAGTTACATACTTCAGCAACAGAGAAAATGTCGGATAACAAACTAGTTAAAGAAAAAACTTAACCTCTTGCAATATATTTATTCATGCTTTGATAAGAATACACTGTTCAAATATGAAATAGGAGCTATGGGGCATACAATGGGGGAAGACAAATTACTTCACATGAGAATGTGAAGTGTGACATTTCTTACCCATACAAAATAACACTGGAAGATCCAATATGCAGGAGCTAAACTCAATAGACAAGATCAGATGCCAAACAACCTAATCTAAAACTGTCAAACTGCAGATGTTTTCTGATTCGGCTTGAATACATACTTTATGAGTGACTCCTTGATGGGTAGGAGTTCAGGGAACTCCTTCTTCAGTTTGGTGGTATCCAATTCATTGTTGCTCCTTGGGGCAATAATCACCTTTGCCTGTTCCTCCAGAGTGAAGTTCTTCCACACAAAGTTGGGATCAATGTAGTCCCGGTACATCTCCAGGATCTCATTGTGGCTAACCACTCCAGGATTGGTGAAGTTCCAGATTCCAGTGAGGTTCCTCTTAGCCATCTCAATAGATATTGGAAGAAGTTCATCCAGGATTGTCATTGAATTGGGAATGTTGACCACCTTCTCATATCGAGTAATCTTAGTAATGAAGTTGCGAGGGTTAGATAGATCAGATGAGATTGGCATTCTGACACGCAAGGTACAAACATTCTCATAGTTCTTGAGCAGATCTTCCACCTATCAGATTTAGGGACATGAGACCAACTATTAGCTACCATGTAAAGATTTCCCTTTATAAGCTTCATTTATTTCATTCACCAACCACATCTCAAGAATTTAATAATGATGAAGAAGAAAGTGATTACAACTTAATGCAGAATGGGGATGAAATACCATCATAGTAGTTCAACTCTTAAAACAGTAATTTATTCAATAACAGAGGCACAGAGCACAAATCCATGTATTCCTTACCATAAAAACACTCTTTTGTAAAAATCACAAATATATCAGGTTAACGGTTTCTAGTGCTGTCAATGGGTCAGGTCTGGTCTGGTCTGACTCAGGGTAGATCCAGTCCCAAACAGGAAAGTAAATGTGCAGAACCATCCCTCAAGAAATAGTAAATGCACAGACTCAGTCCCACACCAGACCCTATAGGGTCTGTAGTGACGGATCCGGAACATATTGAAAATTCTCTAAATAATCCATTATAAATTGCAAAACATATTGAAAATTAAATAATTACTCCAATTTCTACAACATAAGTAGATAAGAAGGAACAGATGAAATACCGGAAAAATATCAATTACAGTCCCGTTGTACAATTACAAATAAAAAGTTGCTTTAGTGTAAATATGAAGATAACTAATCAGGCGCAGATCAAGAAGCAATGGAACTTCAAGAGTTCTCCACTAAATTATCAGCCAAGTGAAATAGATGATCAGTCACAATTTATCTTCTCTCCAAAACCTAAGTACATAAATGCAGAATAGGCTTCTAATAGAATATAGTTTAATGTACAACTTGGATCAGGCACATGATTGCATCATATAAGAGACTTAAGCGGATATTCTTCCTTCCTAGGCATTTTGAGTAGCTTGGTAATATTGAGTTCAATCTATACGCAGTACTCAAAAGCTGCACAACGCAGTATTTACTTGATCCAAAGTAAATGACTACAAAGATGCAGATGCAAAACTTTAAGCATACAGACAAGATCCAAAAAGTCCAAGCTACCAGATCAGAACATCATGATTAACAAAACATTTAAAGACAACCAATGCAATTTAATCATTCAAGTATTGTAATTAGCATATTTAATCATTCTTAATTCGCACTCTAATAGTGCAAAACGAACTCTAAGCTATCAGACTACAAGATCTCAAGTTAACCAAAACTATCATAGCATAGCGATCTGCAAAACCACTAAACCAGAGAGATAGGGAGAATGAAGAACATAATCAATTACTCACCATGGCCTTGGTCTTGGAATAAAAGGACCCAATAAAATTAGGGACATCTTCCTCCTTGAATCCGATCCCAGACCCAAGAGGATGGATCTGATCGTACTCAAAGATGCAACCAGTGGCATAATTAATCAAGATCAAACCCTTTTCTCTGCAAACATCAGCGAGTGTCAGGGTTCCGACGACATTGGTGCGGATGGTCTCGACCTTATGGGACTCGCACCAGTCGACGTTGGGCCGACCAGTGACGCCGGCGGCATTGAAGACATGAGTGGGTCGGACGGTAGAAAGGTCGGCCTCCAGCGAGGTTCGGTTCTCAAGTCGGCCAGAGCCGTAAGCGTAGTCGATGCCCTGAGCTTCACAGAGCTTACCGAGAAGTCCTCCAATCCACCCCGTCCGGCCGTAGATCAGAAACTTCAATGGCTTATCTGATGCAGATGTTCCGTTCGACGGAAAACCCATTAGAGGTGGATCGAGAGAGAGAGAGAGAGAGAGAGAGACGAAAGATAATGCTAGTGTCAAGTAGCAAACAGTGGAAGAAGAAGATGATGAGATCTCTGGTTGAGTAATTGAGTTCGGGGCTCGTTTTACCTTCCGTGAATCAGTGATGAGTGATGACTGGTCATTGGTTGTTGATCTCGATATGTTTTTGTCTCTCTCCCTCTCATTCAGGAAACACGTCATGTTGGTGTTTCAACATTGTATCAAGGGTTGATGCTCCCTAAGATCATAATCGTTGATCACCAAAAGAAAGGTCTTGATTTATTGAAGGGTTAGTCAGTCAGCGGATACTCTTCAGCCGTCCATTCGGTATTGTCAGTTTGGCAAACACAAAATCATCTGCCATGAAATTAGAAGAGGTTACCCGCACCTGAGGCTGCGGCTACGTGATTACTTCGCGGTGGGATCCATACCACAACCATAAGCGTTGGCGGTGGCGGTTGGCCAGCTCCGGATCCGGGCCTCCGGGGCAAGAGGAGGAAATGCTAATAAACAGCGACTTATATGCAACTCTTGTGTTCATCGCCTACAGACATGGTGGGACCGGCTCTAAGATCGTACGCTACATCTCAAAAGTAGACATATGACTTTCTTTGGACCCCCTTCCGCCTTGTCTCTACGGCGGCATCGGACTCCTCACAGATCGCTCCTCACACCGACATTACATCACAAATCAGAATAATCAGCCGTGTATGCACGGCTGGGACGTACTGTGAGAGCAGATCCCGTTCCGATCCGAACTCCTCTACGGCATCTCCTCATAGTTCTCGGCTTATTAGATGCAATCGCCAATCGGTCTCTGATCTGCTGCCCACGAGTTGTTTTCACAACCTTACCCACAAAACATTAGATCTGTGTATTTGGAATATCTCCCTGATCATTTATGGGGAGATGTTCTCAATACACGCAACGGTTCTGAGTAGAAATATGGGAATAATTGATGGGTAGCAGATTCAGAGTTCACATCTCCACCCCATAAGGGGCCGCCCCACTACTATCCATAGCACATCTTCGCCGTGTATTGAAAATATCTTCCGATAATAATATTAGAATTAATAATGTCATTATCGGGAAATGTTCTCAATACACGGTGGGGATGTGTTGTGGGGCGGCCCCTTATTGGGCGGAGATGTGATCTCGCGGATTCACAATGGATGCAATCATGTAGTCATGCAAAGAAAAGAAAATCTTGGGTGCTCTATTCTTTACCGATTTCCTTGTTGGTAAGTTGCAGGCCCAAGCCCAACCTCCCAACCCACGCTAAAGTCCGGGCTTCACGCCAGGCCTGAACCTAAAATTCAACATTTCAACTCAACAAAATATTGGGCTGGGCTTTAGATCAAAGGCATTGGGTATACAAGCCCAACCCGATATGCACCACAAAACTATATTTGGTTTTACTCCATTAACATTATGTATACTAAAATATGATGTATATTAAAATTAATAAATACCTTATCAAAGTATTCTTCTAAGAGGATTTGAACTACAAACCTTATTTATACAAAACCCTTCAATAATTTGAGACCAAGTCTGGTTCAACTTTAATAACATATTAACTACTTAAATGGACAAGCCCAACAAGTCCACTCAACTTTAAGGGTTGATTATGAGGTTGGGTTTGACCACGAACCGGGCCAAGGCCCCAACTTGGGTCATAGGTTCAACAAAATTCCTCCCTCAACTTTTTGTTTCTCTTTTATTTTCTATTAAACGAAACATACCCTTAGACTATGTTTGGTTTGGAGGAAAAGGTAGGGAAAGGGTCATAGGTTTCCCCGCCTTTCCCTACCTTTTGCTTAGAACCAAACACAGCCTTAGGTTTTGATCTATTTGATCATAAACCTAGTGTGTTGGCAGTTGGCATCACATGGTTTCGATCGCATAAAAGATCCAATCACGGTACTGGAACCGTGTAAGTGCTTTTGATTATATTTCAGTATATTAAGGCTATCTTTGAGAGTGCTTCTCCATTTTTTTTTTTTTGGTGTGGTGGGTGGGGGCGCTTTTAACATTAGGGAAACCAAAAGACAAAAAAAAATTTGCTTGGTGAAAAAGTCCAACATATAATAAACCCGTTTCAAAATGTGAAAATAAGCTCCATTTAATTTTTCATATTGGCAAGAAATTACTTTGAACAAAAAAGATGTTTGAGTAGCAAACAATAAAACAAATTTTTTTTTCAAAAAGCCTACTTCAAAAATTGACTGTTTAGAGGCCCAATTAGGCCGAAAAGCACTCTCAAACACGGCCTTCTCTGGCAAGTAGCATTGGGAGAAGCTAATTCAGAAATCCCATAGAAGTAAGGGAACAAGTATGTCCAGGAAAGTATATGAAGTGGATTCATCCAGAAAGGAAAAGCCTTATGTGAAGGTTGAAATACGTGACCAAGTTCTTGGTGGGGTCCCAAGACTTTGTGAAAGGTTGTTGGTTGAGTTATTTGTTGGTACTTGGTAGAAAATTTTCCAATTTTTGTTGCTTCTCGTTATTGCAAAATTTGAATCCTTTTCAAGAATTTACAATTTGTGCTACTACCCAAATCATTTTTTTGTAGACAACCCTGTACACGATAATGGATTTACAAGAACAATAAAAGGGCAGCCCAGTGCCCGAGGCTCCTGCCAATTTGGGGTCTGAGGAGGGGCAGATGTATGCAACCTTAACCCTGCACATACAGAGAAGCTTGTTTCCAAGGATGTATAACAACAATGACATCTAATATTACAATCGCTAATTATGTCTCTGTAGATGCCACTGAAGCTTGTCTTGATTGCTCTCTTCTGTAACTGTGCAACCTGTGTTTAATCTGAATCCCTGAATAACAGCTGGGGACGGTCAAGTGTGACCTCCAGGAGGCAGGGGACTGAAATGGATCAGATGGTGAGATTTTCCTGGATGGCAAGAAATGTTCCAACTATACTCCCTCCCACATCAGGAAAAGTTTCACACCCAGGAAGAGGCTTCACCTTGCCCTTTGGATCAACTTCAACTGGGTATTTTAGGAGGTGGCCCTTCATCTCGCTTATGTCTTCAGCTACAAATTGTCTCCAATTCTGCTCCCCCAGTGATCTGACCCTCCTAACACATTCCAGACTCTCTGGTTGTGTAAAGCATTCCTCAGCAGCTCCCAAGTGCTCTGCCCACAGTGACATCCTATACCCATATATCTAACAAACAAATACCCACTTGAAAGTCAGAAAAATTTTCTGTCAAGAACATAGATCTAGATTAAATATAATAGCCAAAATTTCAAATTCTGATACATCACTAAGTCTAGAAGAAAGTTGGACAAGCAGGTTAATATCTGATAATAGAAAAGGTTATTTATTCTGATCAAATGTTTACCTGCCCACGTGGAGAACACAACTTTCTTGCCCATGTATGTGAAGGTTGGTATGCACCCATTGCAATCTCAGTATCTCTAGTGCCCTCCATGGAGCGCTGGTTGATGTTTGCAGATCCTAATATTACATACTCATCATCCACTATCATTCCTTTTGAATGAACATATATCATGAAACGCCGTTTTTTCCAACTGAATACCTGGTGGGAAGATATACAGGGCATGAAAATCACAAATAAATATATAAGTTCTGACTAGAAACTAAAAAGATAAACAAAGTTCACGCTCAAAAGAGACACCAAACGATACATTCAACACAATTATCAGAAAATTGGATATGGATTTTTTGTTATGAATATGTAGTAATGAATAAGTTCATCCCCTTATTGAAATGGAAAATAATTTTGTCCATTTGGAACTAGTTTAAACAAGAAAAAACAAATGAAAAATGGAGAAACGCATTTCGAGAAGGAAAAAGAAAAGCCTTAATGGTAGAGGGACAGAAAAGAATTACTTGGGGAGTATTTGAAGCATTAGGAACTCCCACACAGGAAGCTTCATTTCCATCTACTTCCTCACGATTTCCCAGGCAGAAGAAATTCAAATAATCCTGTGGAACATATGTCTTTTCCAGCCCAACCTCTTCCAAAGCTTTATAAATAGTCTCGTACATCATTTGCATTGTTTTGTTCTGTCACAATAACTTCAGTTAAACAAAATATAATATTCCTGTCATGATGCCTTATTGTAAAAAGAGGCAACTGCATTACATTAAAGACTTAGAGAAAGGATTTGACAGGAACAATGTGGCACTGATATAACAAAGTATGGAAACCGCTTCAGTACTCGAGCATTTTAGAGGACTCCACCAGAATCATATAAAGATAAAAAAAAAAAAGCAATGAGACTTTGATAGAGGTGCCTGCACAACATGATATGTTTGAGCCAAATAAGCTTCAATTGTCAATTTGTCATCTATAAACTGTTGGAATTTCATATTTCAATGTTATTTGAAGTAAAAAAGTCATATTTCTTTCACAGCATACCTTATACTAAAAAATGATATAAGGTCAATGAAATAAGATCCTCAAGATTGGACATTGTCTTACTAGAATATTGATTTTTTTTTAATTCAACTGAAGTACAAGCTCTGTGTTAATAGAGGTCCTTGGAATTTAATAATATTAACAATTGCAGTTTGTTGCACCTTGCTTTCAAATAAAAGATTAAAACTTCGTATTCAATTCAAGTGTCAGCTCTGTCCACAAGGATCCATGTCAAATCAAGGGATTTTGGTTGAACGTAGAAAGCTGAATAGCTGATATGATGTCTCTCCCTTTTACAAATAAAAGAATTATAGTTTTCTGATGGTCCTCTAGCTTCAAATTTACATTAGAACTAAATTTCCTAGATGTTAATAAGCTTTTAATCATATCTCCATTATTAGAGAGAGTAGAAAATCAAGAAACCAAGTAAATTGCTGGAGAAGTCAAAAAAGAAGTGAGAGAGAAATGAGGAGAGAGGCAAAAAGTTGTCTGGCCAGCTCCTCTCTTTGTATTTATACTTAACTGAAAGTGTACAATGACTAATAAGCCCTTAATAGGATGGCTATAACCAAAGGGCCCACAACTTAAAAGAAATAAAAGAACAATTAGTGGGCTTAGGCCCAATAATTAAAGTGGAACATAACTAATAATAAACAAAAGAAAAAACTGGGCCCATAAAGGTCTCGACCCATTAGCTGAACTGTCAACACTCCCCCTCGAGTTGGGAAAAGATGCCAATCATTCCCAACTTGCTTAAATCATGTTCTAGCTTGTTCTTTGCTACCCCTTTAGTGAAGATATCTGCCAACTACAACTCTGATGTGACATACGGTAAACACACCTCTCCCTAATAAAGTGTCAGTCAACCTTGATGTGCTTGGTTCTATCATGTCGAACTGGGTTGTGTGCAATGGTAACAACAGCATGAATGCCACAATACAATATCATGGGTTGCTTTGCATCGGTCCCAATCTCACTTAATAAAGACCTAAGCTAAAGGAGTTCTGAAACACAATGAGCCATGGCCAAATTAACTAGGTGTGGAGCAGCTCTTGATTAAGGGGGATTCCAAGGTGGTAGTGCACTGGTTGAAGAACCCAAAGACTGTTGTATGGTCCTACAATAATGAAGTCAAGAAACTTAAGTGGCTAACATGTAATATGTTTGTAAGAATACGAGTGGGGAGACCAGCAAATGCATTGGCTGATTGTCTGGCCAAGCAAGGGGCAAATAGGGAAAAGTTTTTTAGGCTCAGATGTAATTTGATATTTGTTTACTTTGTACATTGTTTGGAGAGGATGCAGATCGACTCTCCAAGGGATGCTTGTATCAGTTTAAACTTACGAATTAATAATATTTCCTTTTTGTCAAAAAACACCATGAGCCATGGGCCTGTACTTTGCTTCTGCACTAGATTTGGCCACCACATTCTACTTCTTACTTTTCCATGAAACCAAATTCCCACCAACAAATGTAAAGAAGCCTAGTGTAGATCTCCTATCCTCTAAGCATCCTGCCCAACCTGCATTGTATATGCTTCTAGTTTCACATGTCCATGAGTAGAAAATAATACACCTCTACCAAGATGTTTCTTTAAGTGAGCAAGGATCTTATCAATAGCTTCCTAATGAGTAGTCCATGGAGCATGCACTTGACTTACCACACACTTCAGAGGAGATATATGGGCATGTCATACATAGATGTAACAATCAGCCCAACAATCTCTGATACCTCCCTACATCCCTAACCAATTCACCATCTAATGCACTACTTCTGTGATTTTGATCAATGGGTGTACAGTAGGTTTCACCCCAAGCTTCCCTGTCCTACAGTAGATCTAGAATATACTTCCGTTGTGAGATAAAAATACCATGTCTGAACCTTGCAACTTCTATTCCCAAGTATCTCACTTCCCCCAAGTCCTTGATTTCAAACTCCTGCTACAATGCTTCAATGATTTATTGAGTGCACATATATCTCCTCTAGATCACTGCCTATGACGACAATGTTATCAACATATACTTTCCAAATTGTCACCAGAGTCCCCTCTCCTTTTCACAAAGTATGACCAAATTGTGTCTGTGTATACCCAAAATGGACCAAGGCTCCCCTTAATCTACCAAACCATGTTCCGGGTGACTATTCCAAACCATACAGATCTTTAGCTTATACACCTTGTTTACTTAAACACAACTATAGAATTTTGTTGGTAGATCCATATACACTTCCTCCTGTATCTCTCTGTTGGTTCAATTGGTTTAGTGTTTATGTTAGCCTTATTTATGTTTTAAGTTCTTAGTTATTGGGCCTAAACTTGTTTTATTCTTTTTTTATGTCTAGGTGTCCCATCACTAATYAGGGGCATTCTAKTCCATTCTTGTAACATTACTTTGTAAACATCTATATAAGGTTATAGGGCCGGCTGAAGTGTGTATGCCGCCATTCTCAAATCTTCTTCTTTTCTTCGGTTGCTATTCTCCAGCAAACATGGTATCAGAGCACTAATCGGTCTAACTGGTTACAGCCGCCTCTTTTCTCCACTTCTCTATTCCTTCTTTTTTTTCTCTCTCCTATCTCGTCCACTGTGAAGAAACCCTAGGGCTGACCGTAAAACACAGCAAGGTCTGTATCTAGGGTTTCCCTTGGTTGTAGGGCCCAAGGGGAGTTTGTTCCAGAAGCTGATGCCCTACTAGAAACCCTATAGCAGGTAGTAGCCATTCGGCTGCTAAGAGAGATCTGTGTGGAACAGATCTAGGTGGAAGGACTGAGTTAGACAGTCCTAGTACAGATCGTAAGGGTGGTCACAGTCTACGACAGTAGAAGTCAAAGTTCAGTCTAGAAGTGTTCAGCACAGTACAGGGGTGGATTGTTCTTGATTTCAGACCTGTTACGAGGGGTTCTCAGACTTGTAACAGCTTTGGTAAGTCCGAAATCGTGTTCTTTGTACCGAGTTTTCAATTGTGATCACTGTAAGAGGAAGGAGATGTCTTCAATATCGGGAGAAGTGTCTTCTAGGGATAATAGAACTGGTGGGAGGTCTTCTAATCTGGAAAAGCCAAATCTGCACAGCTTGCAGATCACCAGTGTATTGTTGGATGAATATAATTTCAGGGAATGATCTGTTTCAGCCATGCTCTTCATTACTTCCCGGGAACTTACAGGTTGTTTAGATGGATAGAAGCAGGAACCTGAAGTGGGTAGTGTGGAGTACGCAATATGGCGTAAGGAAAATGCTACTGTTATGTCCTGGCTACTTGCTTCGATGACTCCAAGAGTGGCCAGGACTGTTCAACACTTTCCCACTACTGCTAAGATTTGGGAGAAAGTGTCTAAAACTTATGGACAGAGAAAGAACAATGCAAGAATCTATAGGCTA